CTTTTTTTCTTAAAAGTCCAAAGAACCTGCCAATCTAAAATCCGTACAACTTACCACTGATCAGGGGAGTAAAAAATATAGCTGCCTCTTGCACTTTATTACTTATAGAAAGAAAGGGGGAAAAAAAGTAAAAGAGTCCCTGAGGGTTTTACTCTGCCAATCATTACCAGCCATAGGGGGAAGTGCTCACCTCCATTTTAACTGCGTTCTGTGAGCCTCGGCATATAGTCATGCTGGCCACATGATCATGAAAATTGTCTTCAGACAACGCTGGCTTCCTCAGCTAAGAAATGGAGATGAACATTGCCCTCTACACTCGGAAGCTGAAGTACCACTATGATTCTAGGCAGTAGAGTAGTACTGCAGATGGCAAGAGAACCAAAAACCTATCCTATAGTCTTCTATGATGATATCAGTGGTGGTATTCAGCCAGTTCGGAGTGGTTCAGGCAAACCGGTAGTGGTGATCTACGTGTGGCGCCTCGACTTTAAGCCATCCTGTTTAGCCACATTTTCTAAGCTGCGTGCCCTGCATATGTGCAAGCCATGTGCACAAGCAAAGTGCATGCGCAGAAGGCACATGCACTCACACGCACGCTCACAGTTTCTGTGTGTGGCGAACCAGTGGTAAAACCAGTTGTTATTATTATGTGAAATCCACCTCTGGGTAATATCCAGAACTTTGAGTCTTTTGGGGCCAGCTCAAAAACATAACTGATCATTACAAAGTACAGGAGAACTTTTATACAGGTTTTCCTACAATTTTACCTTTGTAATAATGAGGCTGCCTAAGGCCTAAGCTCATAATCCAACCATTTTTTCCCCATAAGGTGGAACTGAAAACTTCTCTGTTCACTTCTGAGTTGTAAGTGTGTTAGAAACATGTTAGGGAAATCATGGTTTATTCTAACTATGAACAGAAGAAGCAATAGCTCTCTAGTCTTCTTGGCTTCCTGCACAAATGGGAAACTGAACCTATAAGATGCTGTTTACGCCCTTCAGCAATACGAGTTCTAATCACATACTGTCTCAAAGCATCATTCAATATGTAAGCTCCGGCATAGTTTAAAGTGTTGGACTAATTCGCTGGATGGCTTTGAGCTTATCATTATGCCAGTGGTAAGCCATGGATAAGAATGACTCTGATTGCTCTTAACATAAATCAACATCACTTCAGTGCTTGCTGCTTCCTCATCTGAAGTCTGAGTTAACATTAATTATCAGCAGGCTTCTTGGGATAGGATAATGAACTGGTATTGCAGATGGTGCAAAATAAAATTCCTCCCAACTTTGTTCCTTAAATCCAATTAATGTCTACACATAATTACGTATGTCACCTATGCGTGCTGGTATTTGCTGTTGTCTTGCTCTTAGAGAGACTATATTAGTCTCCAGTTCATATCAACAACTGAAATTATTTTAGTAATTTTAGTCAGGGTCAATCACCTCCTACTAAGGTTTAGCATTTATTCTTCCTATATATTTCTGGGACACTTGAAGCTTGAAGAAAACATCAGCTGCATGTACTATGGATAATTATCTACATCTGTTTCTGAGTGGGTAGGCAAGTCCTCTCTACACGTGTGCACTAAAAAGCAGTAAAGTTTGCTTTTATCCTCCTTCCTACTTAATTTTTAACAAGGGTTGGGTGGGGGAGAGGGAGAGAATCCTCCTTGTTTGTCTGGAGTGATTAGCGCCAGAAGATTTCTGCTTCTCTCTATCCAGCATAAAGAAGAATGCAGCAATGGATTTGATCTCAGTGGGGAGCCCAGGATAAACCTCAGGAATCACTAGACTGGCAAATTAAGCCAGTGTCTGAACATGAACTTGAAGATGAAAAATGTGAACTATTTTCACTTCATTTTTTTCCACCTCTAAATATCACTACCGCAAAAATGGTTCTGCAGCCATTACCTGCAAATATTCCTCAACCAATCCTTCACAAATGCCATTAAAAGAAGAGAGAGAGAGAAGAGAGAGAGAATAAAATCCACAGGGTACTTTGGTATGTGGATGGTATGAACACACACAGAGAGAATGGGGAAGAAAAGAAAACAGATTTTTAACCACAGACATATTAATTTATACAGATTATCCCATATTTGCTGCAACATGAATGCACAGGAACCCAATTCTGTCACATTATTGATTGTGGTCTGTTGAGTTGCCAAGTATGCAAAGTAGACCGAGAGTTGTTGGTTGCACACCTGACACGCTTCTCAATGTACCCCACATATCGAATGTGGTTTCTATATAAGTCCGGAAAACATGTTACAGCCTTCTTTCAGTTTTTTTCTTCCATAATCCTAGATCTCAGATGCATAAAACAGAGAAAGAAGTAAATAGATTTTTTTTTCCAGAATGACCAACACTTATGCCAAAAAATATTGATGGCATGGGGGGGAGGGGAAACAAATATTATCCAAAATGTTTTGCGGTAATTCATAAAACATAGATTGTATTCATGCCTGTACTTCTGATAGTTCCTAAATTGCACACACTTGAAGACAAACTGATAATGAAAGATAGCTAGACAGATATATGATGGAGGATAAGCCACAGATTGAGTATAGGCATCAAGAGAAATCACATCATTAGGATGAGGGGAATAACTAATCTTTGCTCCTTTCACTTTTGGGAAAACATCAATTTATGATAACCATCTCACTGGAAATAAGCAAGCTCACCTGGTATTTATCAGGATCTGCACCTCCAGCTTGTCCCACAAATAGTCCTGCTCCTTCTTCCAGCTCTATCTTACCAGGTGACCTCTCAAGATGAACCGTCTTAAATTCTTCACAGTCCATATAAAGCACCACATTGTAATCCCGCACGCTGAGGGCAAAGCGAGTCCACAGATTGACCAGGGAAGGGACGGTAAATGTGGCTGCAATGTTGGAATTTTGAGAGCCAGGCTCCGTATAGTAGAAGAGGATTTGCTGTTTTCCATCTTTCACCTCCGAAAGCTTCACACCAACGTAGATGATTGACTGGGAGGCATCCGTAAGAGCAAAAAGCACCCCTGCGTTGTCTGAAGTGGATTGAATGTAGAACAAGAGTGAGAAGTCTCTGTAAAAGGGGCTTGGGAGGTGGTACCGTGCCACTTGTCCAGCGTTGGCATCCGGTCTAAACACATAAGCAGGACTTTTGTCTGGGCCATAGATTTTGGTTATCTCGTCTGGTGGAGGATCTCCAATCAACTCTAAGAGACCAACTTCTCTGCTGAAATTTTCTGTTAAGAAAAGAAATTGGGTAGTTTTAGAAACAACAAGGATAATAAACAACAACACCTGGAAAATCTCTTAAGAATCAGAGTGGGAAAATGATAATCCTGAGCTTGGCCCTATATTGAATGCCACTTCTTCTGCCCATCCTTATAACCCAGCTATTTCCCACCTGTAGATTATTTTAATCTCTCAAAATATTCAATATAAATAACTTGTTGCACAGTATAGAAGGCATGTTGCAATGTCATCATTCTGAAACAAGTAGGATTTCCAGATGGGTCCAGTGCACAGGTGATATTCAGCAGGTTCTGACCAGTTCTGGAGAACCGATAGTGGAAATTTTGAGTAGTTCAGAGAACCAGTAAATACCATCCTTGTTTGGCCCCGCCCCAGCTATTCTCTGCGTACCGAGTTCCAGCTGATCGGGAGGAAATGGGGATTTTGCAGTAACCTTCCCTGCCAGACCCACCAAACCATGCCCACAAACCATGCCATGCTCACCAAGCCACGCCCACAGAACCGATAATAAAAACATTTAAATACCACCACTGGTCTAGTGTTCTACAAGATTGATTGCTTTCAATTCAATCAATGTTATTGTCTGACAAATTTCTATTTAAATTTTAATTGTAGTCTTCCATAGATTCAAGAGCCCTCTCTCTCTCTCTTTCTCTCCCAATTAAATAGACAAAGTCCTACATGAGCCAGGATGCTCTGCCAACAGAAACTCACCCCCATCCCCAATCACTCATTCCCCAACTGGAGTATTGCAGTATAGTCTGGATGGAACTGCTTTTCAAAATGACACTGAAGCTTCAATTGTTCCAGAATGTGGCAGGCAATCTACTAGCTAAAAAATTTGGTAGTATAGGATTACACCTATTCTTAGGTCACTGATTGCCAAAGGGCTCTTGGGCCCAATTCAAAGAGTTGGTCATTGCCTATATGTTGTGTGGCTAATATGGGCTTCTTGGATATCCCAACCCAATGAGAGATCCATAGAGTTGAAATGAGGTAACCAGACTTTTCAATAAGAGCATTTTGAAACAGTCTATGTGTACTATTGCAAACCAGGAGTTCAGTTCCGTTGATTTTCCTTTCATTGA